TGTCTGTGACTTGGTCACCCTCTTTAAAAACAAAGAAAACAAAACCCTGCTTATAGGGGAAGTGAATCTATGTTTTGTTTTGTTATTGTTGTTGGATTGATTTTTTTCTTTTGTTTGTTTCTTGTTATTGTTTTGTATGATTTTCTGTATATGCAATCCAGAATAGGTAACATCTTATAGAGACAGCAACTGGATTCATAATTACTTAGGGGCATGGCAGTGGAGGTTGGGAGGGAGGAACAAAAACAAAAAACAAAACCATTGCCATTGAATCAAGCCGATGCTGACTCATAAGGACCCTAAAGGACAGGGTAGAACTACCCCTGTCCGTTTCCAAGACTGTAACTCTTTGTGGGAGAAAAAAGCCCCATCTTTCTCCCAAGGAGAGGCTGGTGGTATTGAACAGTTATCCTTGCAGGTTGCAGCCCAACCCATAACCACTATGCCACCAGGGCTCCTACGTGGGTAAAATGGAGAGCTAACAACTATGAGTACAAGAAAGAAGAAAATATTCTGAAATTTGTGATGATTGCATAACGTTTCTTACTATAATCGAACTATTAAAATGTATGCTATGTGAATTCTATGCCAATTGTTTGTTTTTCTAAGAACCCTGGGTATTTCAGATACTTTGGAAGATTATCTTTGGGTTTTGGTTGAAGTTTTGTTGAGCTGAAGAAGACCCTTTTCAAAAACCACACATGATGCACATCATATGTTAGACTTGCACCTCTCCTCTGTTGCTTTTTCCTTTCCTCTTATTATGGCTTCTTCTCGCTGCAGGCCCCCTTACAAGTCACATCACTTCTCTAAGCACCAATTCTGTTGTTTGCCTAAAAACCAAAACCAAACCAAAAACCAACCCCCGCCTCCCAAAAACATCATCTACAAATTAGTCTTGAGAATAAGTGATTGGTAAACCATGAAGCTAACTGAATGCAAGTCATTACTGTTATCAAGACAATGATCAATAAAGACAGCATAACTGCAAGGTTCACAATTTGAAACCACCAGACTATCTTTGAGAGAAAGGCAGGGCTTTGACTCTTGTTCAGAACCCACAGGGGCACTTCTACCCTGTCCTAGAGGGTCCCTATGAGTCCGCATCGACTGGATGGCAGGGAATTTGCTTTGGTTTTCATGGAGCAGCAAGAATGTGAAAGTTGGAGATGAATCACAGGTGCCCCGTTACCAGCAGATTGCCAGGAGTCAAAATTGACTCACGATTGACCTTGAGTTCTCATTTGCCTTGAAGCAAATTATTGCTAATGCCAGGACAAAAACTCAGGTTGAAACATATACTGTTGTACCTCTTATTATAACAAATACTTCAGTTATACATCAGTTCTTTTATCCAGAGATTAATTCGTCCTGTCCGTTTTCAAAACAACCTTGCTTTGATTCTAAATTTGCTTTAAATACCTTTTAGCTCCACATATACGCCCCTTATCTTGTGAAGTGTAGCACCTGTGGCTTGGACCGTTCTGACTCTATCAGAAATGCCTATATGTGTTCAGTGTAGAGTGTCAGAGAAGGAAGAAAGTCAGCATGTTCTAGTTAGTGTTTCTGAAGTGGAGAGGGATGGGAGGGCCTGTGATAACTGCTTGTGATAATCCATTTCTTGAGAAGCTATGTTGGTAAGTACCTGGAATTTCTCCAAAAATACAAGGAGTATCTCAGCCAACTCATTAGAGTGAGGGGATTAGGTAGCAGGGCTTTGAGGAAATGGGGGAGAAGGCTGGAAAGAGAAATGAGCTTCCAGTTTGCCATTGCCAAGGAAATCTGCAGTGGGCAACTGGGCCTAAGCACCAGGATTATGTGAAGACAAACCAGAAAGCTGCCCTCCCAATTAGAAATGCCAACGACAGTGGGAATCAACAAGCATTCAGGTACCAGATTGTTTGGATCCCATTCAATCTTTTTCATTTAGGGTTTGCTTGACTTGAAGGAAATTGCTTAACGTATCTATGGCTCAGATTCTATTCTTTAAAATGCCAATAAAATTTGTACACACATCCAAGGCTGACAGAGATCATGCATACAAGGTGGTTAGCACACAGCAGTGCCGGGGATGCTGTAAGTGCTGAATAAATGGTGTTGCTAGGTTCCATTGAGTCAATTTTGACTCATAGTGAGTCCATGTGACACAGTAGAATTGCCACGTAGGGCTTCCTAGGCTGTCATCTTTATGGGAGCAGCTCCCCCGGTCTGTCTACTGTGGGACCACTCGATGCATTCAACTGCCTTATGGTTGGGAGCCTAGTGTGTGACTGTTGCCCCACCAGGACTCCTCTGAATAAATGATAGGAAATATGAGTAGAGTATTACTTGAAACCTGATGACTGTTGTCATTAGGACACTGTCACTTGCATTTTGTATCTTACACCAATTTAGCTGGTATACTATCTAAACAAAAATAGGTACTCAATAATTAGCTATGAAATAATTAATCTGCCAATATGGGTTGTGAAGAACTGGGTGGTGGGGTTTATCATTGGGGGGATGACAATAGATTAAAGAAGGTTGGAGTTATTTTCTGGCAGGATCATGCAAGGCTGACTCTTCACAACAACCATGACTTGTTAGTAAGTGGCAAGGGCCTAGGAGACCTGGTTTAGATCATAGAGATACGAATGGCTTTAGACCTCACGCTTAATCATAACCCCCAAATAAGAACAACTAGTACTTATGACATAGTCCCATCTACCCAGTCCCATGAGGTGATCACTGAAGATAAGGATGATGTAGCAAAGCCTCGTAAAGAAAGCAGATGGTGCACGGCTAACAGAAAGAATAGTGTCTGGGGTCTTAAAGGCATTGGAGCTTAAATTCTGTATCTAGAAGGCTGCAGATGACAGTAAAAGCCCAAAACCCCTTGCAAGGTCTCCCATGAGGGTTAAGCCACCAATAAATGCCTTCTGACCAAGACCCAGAGATGGGAAAGATCTTGTTACCAGACAGAGTACACTGCAGGATGGATCACTACAATTGTAGTAAGGTCCAAATGTGACACCTTGTCAGTCATTGTTCTCTCTCTTAACCAAATGTGTAATTGCTCCAGTTTTTAATGTTCTCTGCTTTGTTATTTACTGAGATTTTTCTGTTTCATTGTGCCGTTGTTGGGCCGTTTGTAGTCTGTCTTAATTTTGTATGATTTTTGTATATGATCAGGTAAACCTGTAGAGACTACTGGATCAATAGATTCCAAGAGACAAAACAGGGGAGGTGGATGGGAAAAAGGAAGCTAACAACAATGAGTGCAAGGAAGAAGAAATGTCTTGGGATTGATTGTGATTGTGGTTATGCAACTCTTATGAATTAGATTGAACTATTGAGATGTATATGATTTGTATGTCTGCAAGCTTATTTAAAATAATTTTTAAAGAGAGGAGGTTGGTTTAGAGGTATCACTCTATTATCAATAAACTGGGTATATTTGGACCGATGGGGTATTATTTCTTCATTTAAAAAAATGAGTTAAAAATTGCATGAGTGGCTTTTAACTGTGGACTGAGAAACTCAAAAACCAAACTCATGACCATCGAGTTGCTGCTGATGCACAGTGACCCTATAGGGCAGAGAACAACAATCCCTGTGGGTTTTTAAGACTGTAACTCTTTATGGGAGTATAAAGCCTTCTCGTTCTCCCACAGAGTGGACAGTGGTTTTGAACTGCTGACCTTGGAGATCACAGCCCAACCTGTAACCAGGGCATACCTGTGGACTAAGGGTGGGGAGGATATTAGATAGATTTTCAAACCTTAGGTGTTCGCGTTGCTCTCTCTACTTAGTCTTTGCAGGTCTCCTCCTCCCTTGTGAAAAACTCATTTTCCTTGTAATCATAGAGTAAGAAGGTGTTGACAAAAAAAAAGTGTGTAAAAACAACTCCATTATCTTTTAAGTCGATGTTTACATGGAACCGTTTGAAGGCCCTTCATATATAAAGTCCCTCCTTGCACTAGTGACTACTGCTAATAGCACAGGCCCGTGCCACTAATGACAACGTGATATTGGAGAGATTGGACAAATACTGTTTGGGAAACTAAAGGATGGGTTGTTTTATGTTCAGTTGATTAAACAACAACCACAACAAAAACAAGAACAGGCTAGTGTGGACCCTAGGTGTAAATAAGGAACTCCTGTGTGGGTTTATAGATAAGTCACTTAGGAAGTCAGCGATGATCTCCTTTCCTATCTTTGTCTAAATGTGTTGGGCTGATCTAGGAAATGGCATTTGGTCACCTAAGCCAAATTTCCATAGTCTATAAATGGAATAGAAGGAAATGATTTTAATTCTAATCTTGGTATTTACATATTAAGATTGCCATGCATTGGAGCTGACTTTACAGCAACTAACAAGTAGTACAACTTAGTCTTTAAACTGACACGAAAGTGCTATGAAATAGTTGAGGGTAGACTGATAAGGGAGAGAGAACTTTGGCTCTCTCTGAGAGCATTCTAAGGGAAGTCTGGTTGTCTTTACCTAGACTTTCTAGGTAATATGGAAGGATTTCTCTTTGTTAGAGATGTTGTCTTGGAGTCAAAACTAATCAGTATGTTCAGCTTAATCTATGAGGGTAGTTCTGTGGAAAATCTGAAACCTTTTGGTGACCAAGTACACCTATTACTTACAGATGCTGATGAAGACAGCAATGAGATGGGGAGTGGGTAAGGAGGAAATGCAATTTGGACCTCAGTCAGAGAAACCGCCTCCTCTTAGGAGTCTGAGGCATGGGATAAATTTAACACAAAACACAGCATAGTGTTGATGCTGCATTATGAGTTGATTGAAGAAATAACGGGGTCCCAGAGGAAATGCTTTCCTAATCCTGAGTCAGGCATAGTACAGTGGTAATGCACGAGTCAAGGAATCTTGCAATCTCTGTCCTACTTCCAGCTCTGTTACTAATTTGCTGTGTAATCTTGGAAAAGTCGGAGTTTCACTTCTCAATATATAAAGGAAGGATGGGCCAGCATTGTATCCAATATACCTGCTGACTCTAACTGCTGATCCCAAGATTCGATTATGTAACAATTGAATTCTAGAACAATCAAGTATTACAGATGGACCAGGTAAGATGGAGAGGCTGGGGCGGGGAGAAATGGTCTGTCCTGCTTAAGTAATCTGTAAAGGAGAAAAGCAAGGTTGTCCCTGAATGTTGGAATAAGTAACTTTTAATCCTTACCTTCCTGTGAAATTCATGATTCTAGGAATATAGACTCAAAGAACCAGCTCTGAAACTGGGAACAGTGCTTTTTCTTTGAAAGTCCTTTCAATTTTGAGTATAAATATTATTTTCTTCAAGAATTAGCAAAAAGTATTACATTTTCTGGCAGCAAGGCACTGTTGTGATTTTAAGAAAGGGAGAGATGTTTAGATCTGTCCTATAAAAAGCCGGACATTCCTAGTCTGTGTGGTGTGCTGAATTAATTGGAAGCAGAAATGACTGGACCAGATCTATCAAGTTAGGAGATGATAATGTTAATGGCAGGGAATTGGGCAACTAACAAAGTGATCATGGAGAGATTGGGCAACCGAGGGAGGGAGATTCCTCAGTTTCTTATTTGGGGCTGCTGGGACGATGGGGATTGTATTGACTCACACAGGAAACAGGGGAAAAGTGGAACAGTTAGGAGAGTAGAAGGTGATTTAACATTGAATTATTCGAGGCTTTGGTGTCGATTTGGAGTTTTCTCAGCAGTAAAATAACTTTCAAATACTTTTTCTCAAAAGGGTATATGCATGTGCCAGTTTGTTTTCTATGTTGCTAGGGGAGACGATTACTATGGAGACTGATGATGTAAACTCGTGAACATTCTAGTTGGTCTGGCTCAGTCTTGAAGCTGAAGCCTACTTAAAACCAGCTGATCCTGGTAATTACGTGAGTGATGTTGCCAGTGTGAGTGGGGTGGAGGTGTTGCAGGACTTTGGGGTTTAGCTTTGTTTTTACTCTTATAAGAAGGATAAGTCTAGAATCCTCCCTTCTCAGTCTTGACACCTGTTTCCATGGTCTAAGGGAGCACAGGGTTTCCAATTCTTGGTAGAAAGAATTGGTTAGAGAGAAACTTGAAAGGGAAATCACAGTTTGTCATTTGATTACTTGGAATCAACAACATTCAACTGCTATATTTTTCCCTTTTAGGGTGGAGGTTTCAAAGTATTGAAACGTGGAGAAATGGCTTTCCTTCATTTGGATATTAGATGTCTGTATACCATTCTTCTTTCCACCACATTTGGCTGCATTTTTTCTTCAACTACTGAACTAAAAGGTAAACCAATATACTGGCTTGATTTTAATGGAGCTGTTTTTCAGGAAGTCTGTACACCAAAACTTTGCTCTTTGCAGTCAGCTTCATGTATATATATATATATATATATAAATTTTGTGTAGTCCTTTTTGACAAATAGGTCAAATATCTGAAACCTCATGGCTTAGTACTTAAGTGACTAGAACCTTTCGTTTATAATGACCCTGGATGATTTTTTAATATATGAAATTTTATTGTGTTTAAGGTGAAAATGTACACAGCAAATCAGGTTCCCATTTAACCATGTTGTGCACAAATTTCACAGTCATAACAGTTATGTTATTCACAGTGTGCCGTCATTATTCATTCCATTCTAGTTGTACCCAATGTTGACTGTTTAGTCTCATAGAGATGACATTTTTAAGGAGTTCATTACTCATGGGTGCTGTGTTTTCAGTTTTTTAAGAGACAAACTGGTATTTAGTCAAAAGCGACAGCCAAGCATCATTTGGATGAAGGCTTCAAGAGGATCTCAGAATGATAGTTTCGAGGAGTCCTTTGGCCTATACTTTTTCACCCTTGATTTTTATGACAACTAGATGATTTTTATGCTGCAGAGATATAAGGGAAACATTTTAATAATTATAGAATTATTATTTTAAAAATTATCTACAGCATTATTGAACCCTGGTAGCGCTGTCGGGTAAGCAATGGACTGCCAACAAGGTTGGTGGCTCAAACCCACTAGCACAGTTGTTCTCAACCTTCCTAATGCTGCAATCCTTTAATGCAGTTCCTTGTGTTCTGGTGATCCCCCAACCATAAAATTATTTTTGTTGCTACTTTATCACTATCATTGTGCTACTGTTATGGATAAGGCGAGTTTGAGAACTGCTGCCAGTTCTGTGGGAGAAAGATGAGACTATCTGCTTCTGTTAATATATAGCCTTGGAAACTCTATGTAGGCTCGCTACGAGTAAGAATCTAGTCAATGCGAGTGGGGTTGTTGTTGTTTTGAATTATTAAATCATGTGGTATGCTTTTCAAGAGTTCTGGTGGCATACTAGTTGAAAGTGCTTGGCTAAGTCTTGGTTCAAACCCACAAATCTACTTCTGTAAGGATTTACAGTCTTGGAAACCCTAGGAGGCAGTTCTGTCTCACCTTCTCACTGCCATTGAGTCAATGCTGATTCATACAGACCCCCTGTGGGTTTCTGAGACCAGAACTTTTTACAGGAGTAGAAAACTCAGCCTTTTTCCAGAGGAGCTGGTGGTGGTTTTGAGCTGCTGACCATGGGGATCGCAGCCCAATGCATAACCACTACACCACCAGGGCTTGATGTTCTTAGAGGGTCTCTATGGGTTAGAATCTATTCAATAGCAGTGGGTTTTGTTTGCGTGAGAATATGAGTTTCACATTGCAGATGATGGTTAGAACAATGCACTTGGCAGAGATTTCTAGCTAAAAGGAATGACGCAGTAGAACTGTCATTTCATCCTCCATATGGACCCTTTCTATGAGTTACAGAGAGGATCTGGCTGAAATAATAATTTGTGCCATGATTTTTTTCCTGTGGTTTCTCTTCCTTACCTCAAAAAGTATTATGAAATGAAGTATTAAATAAACAGAGCAGCAGTGAGAGGAAACTTATTAGCAAACAAGCCAGATAAAGTCAGTACTTCAGATTTGCTAGTGGGAAAGTGTGTAGATTTATTGAATATTTGTGACGTATAAATGAAAAACCAATATGTATACATATGTGTGTGTCATTGTTTTTTAAATCATCAGATGGTGGCTTCATACCTCCCACAGCCCCTCCAGCTTCTCCTCAAAGCAACACACACACACACACACACACACACCACACTGTTTACTGATGTCTTTCCACTGAGCTGCCTGGTTTTTGTTTTCTTTCTTTTTCTTTTTTTGAGAACCTCCAAAGACTGGTCCTGGTTTGCTGTTCTATAGGAATAGTCCAGACTGTTAGTTAACTAGAGGATTCAATTAACCAGAGTGGATCGAGAAGATTTGGCTTTTCTCCAAATTCTTAAATCAACTAAATTTTAAGCTCTCATGGCCTTATTAAACCATTATAATTCCTTTGTGTACACGCCACAATGTTGTATCTAGTAGATACTGAGTAATTACTGATAGACCAAATTCAGAATTGCATGACAACAGAGCTAAATCTGTGTCAAAGTTCTTCCATCGATGGGACTTAGTATTTGTCCTAATGACATTGCCTTATGAGAAGCATTAAACCAGGGCACATTAGGCCTATGAGAGTTCTTAAAAAGGGTTCAAATACGCAGCATCCATCTAGATTTTTAGCAATGTAATTCAAAATGCATCCCTTGGTGGCATGAGCTGCTAACTACTCGGTCAGTGGTTGCAACTCGCCAGCTGCTGTGAGGGAGAAAGATGAAGCTACTGGTCCTAGTACAGATTTAAAGTACCAGAAACCCAAAGGGAAAGTTATACTCTGTCTTGGAGGGTTATTGTGAATTGGAATCGACTGGATGGCAGTGAGTTTGATTTAGTTTATTCTTTAGAAAGGAACCCTGGTGGTTGGACTACTAACTGCAATGTGGGAGGTTTAAACTCATCAGTCACTTCCTCGGAGAAAATTATGGCTATCTACTTCGGTAAAGATCTAGATCCTCGGAAACCCTATATAGGGTTACTATAAGTCTGAATCAACCCAAAGGCAGTGAGTTATTTTGGTTTGGGGCATTCCGTGGTGTAATTGATTGGAACAATTGATTAGCACATTAGGCAGTTAGCTAAAAAGCTTGTGCTTCAAGTCCACCCAGAGACAATGACAAACATTTACAGGTCTTAGTAGTTTAGTCAGAGTTGGGCTCCTAACGGCAGAGTCAGCAGTTCAAAACCACCAGCTGTTCCCTGGGAGAAAGATGAGACTATCTACTCCTGTAAAGAGTTACAGTTTCAGAAACTCACAGGAGCAGTTCTACCCAGTCCTCTAGGGTTGCTTTGAGTCGGCATCAACTTGATGGCAGTGAATTTGGTGAGGTTTGGTTTTAGTGTATTCACAGAGTTTTGTGATGATCACCGCTATCTAGGTCCCAAACATTTTATTCACCTTCAAATGTAACCCTGTACATATGAGTATCACTCCTCATCCACTGATCGACTCTTTATCTCTGTGGACTTGCCCATAACTTTGCTCATTTCATGTAAATGCAATCATACAATCACTCAGTCTGTGGCTTGTTTCACTAATAATAATATCCTCAAGGTCCAACTAGGTTGTGCTTCATTCATTTTGATGGTCAAAGAATAGTTCAAGTTATGGATATACCACACCTTGGTTCAATAACCACCCTTGATATGTTTGAATATGTAATATTTAATTATTTTCCAGTGAACGTTTATGCATTCATCAACTGGACAATTAGATGTAATCTAGATTTAACATTTTGTGATAAACTATCAGAAAAAAAAACATTTTATTTTATTTCAGTTAATCCTCCCCAGCATTTTGAAATAGTAGACCTTGGGTATTTAGGCTACCTCTCCTTGCAATGGAAGCCTCCACTGACTCTGGATGATTTTAAGGACTGCGCAGTTGAATATGAATTAAAGTGCCGAAACAATGATAGTGAAGACTGGAAGGTAAGACTAGCACATGCAATATCGTGACGAAGAGTTTTCTGGTGTTTCTTGACTTCAGAGTCAAACACCAAATCTTATGTCTGAATAACTATGATTAGGATTTAACAAGATGCCATGCCTGCCTATCCAGTGTTTTTACCCTTCTACCCACTTTTCAGACTAACGTTTGAAGGATGTGATGGGGGATCCTACTCGTGGAATATGGACTTGAAGAGTGCTTACACATTTTGCTTCGATTTACAGTTGAAACAATAATATGTTTCTACATGGGTCTTATGTATGCTACTAGACTATAAACATTTTATTCCAAATTGCCTCTAGGTAGACGTGAACTTCCAAGTGTTCAGTTACCAGCTGAGCAGATTAAGTGTTTGCACCACCTAGAACTTCATCTAAAGAATATAAAATTTAATCAAACCATTATTTACCTCTGTACCTTCCCCGTCAAACACAGCATGATGCTCAAGGTCCTGTCCAGGAAGCTTTTTCTTTTGCGCTCACACACCTGGTGGTTGGTTGGTTGTTTTTTCCCTTCCTAATGAGAAGTTAAAATTCAAATGATCTCATGAAATTATATGAGTAAATGTTCAATGCCAGCCCGCTGATTTATTAACGATTTACACATGCAACAGTAGGTTAATTTGAATAGTTCTGTGACGCAAAGTATTCTGTTACTGCCCAAATTCTCTTCGGTTTCAGGAAACAGTTTTATTTGAGCATGTTTTGTGTCAGACACTTTATGAGGCATTTGGAATTCAGGAGAAAAAAATACACGATTGGAGTCCGTGAGACACTCACAATTTGCTTTTCTCTGGCATAATATAAATCCATTTACTTCTAAGTTTTTACTGTATGTGATTTCTGAAGTGTTCATATTATATTTGAAAAATCATAAATTATCTGTCAAGCAATATGGATTGATAGAGAGGCTTCCATAATGGGCTCAAACATAACAATTGTGAGTTGTTCTGTTGATATGAGTTAGGACCAACTCCACATCGCCTAACAACAACTTCTGAAAATCATCTATTTGATTTCTCATTGGTTATAGCTCAACTTCCTGTCCATGCAGACTTGGTTGTTGTTGTTCTTTTTTTTGTCCTTCTTGATAAGAGGCTAAAGTTCAAATGATGTCTTGAAATTATGTTATACATGGAGGTAAACTGTTCCAGAAATATATCTGGGATATTGTACCAGGTAATCAAAGGTGTCTTAGATATTGGGTACACTCCAGAGTATTAATGATTTCTTAAGCTTTGTTAATGTGCTTCATCATCTCATGACTGTTTCTAAGTTTGACTTTGTCTTGTCTTTTTATCAAACAGACCATTATTACTAAGAAGCTCTCTTACAGAGTTGGGTTTGATCTTAACAAGGGCATTGAAGCAAAGATACGCACAATTCTGCCAGAGCAATGCGCAAATGGATCAAACGTTCAAAGTTCATGGTTGGAAGCTACTTATTGGACACCATCACAAGGTTAAAAGACAGTTCTGTTTTTATACTTACTATAATTAGAACAGTTCATACAGGGAATAAGTTTGAATGCATATAAGAAGGTGCCTTAACTCTTCTCCACCAGACTGTACCTACAAAAATTACTATGGCAATTTGGCACAAATAGAATTCATCTTAGAAGCAAGTGACTATGGTTGTTGTTGTTAGTGACTGGCCTTTGACAAACCTTTGAATCAGCAAAATTATGTAAAATATACATCGTGTTAGATTAATATCATCTCTTAGTCATTGACTCATATTAATGAATATTGATGTATCTACTTAACTGCTCTGCACTCCTAAGATTGTTAAATAATATTTTAATTATATTTACATTAATAAGAGAAAATGAGTTCTCAAAGGTTTTTGAGGATGCGGGCTCTTCTTAGAAATAATTGATTTCTACAAACCTTTATGTGGAATAGTTCTGATTATGTTGGTTCTTAAATGGAATAGAGAGGTCAAAGAAAATGAGATAAATTTATATAGTGATTTTCCAAATTATTCATCATCAAGCCTTTCAAATATTTACAGTTCTTTCATTCCTTAGGAAATGTGGCAACTAGAATTCAGGATATGGATTGTGTATATAACAACTGGCAATATTTATCCTGCTCCTGGAAACCTGGCGTGAATATCCCTTTGGATACCAATTACTATTTATTTTACTGGTAAGTATTTTTATAACTAGATTTGAATATTAAGGAAGAATCCATCCAAATTAATCCACAATATGAGTAACTTCATTTTAACTAAATTTAATTGATTACCAGAGTTGTATTTGAGATGGTGGTTGTTTGTAAATATTGGAGATTCTCTATGTGAGTTCAGACTACAGCTACTGGAAGTACTCTCTGATAATGGATATCAGGATTAACTTTTGTATTCTTTAAATGGAGTTCCTAACTGGTGCACACAGTTAATGTTTAGTTATTAATTGAAAATTTGGAAGTTCAAGTCCACCTTGAACTTGAAGCACCTTGGAAGACTGGTCTTCCCTGGCAACATGTCCAAAATTTATGAGATGAAATCTCACCATCCTTGCCTTTGTTCTTTTGGCAGCCTATGGTACTTTCAATATTTTTCATGAGCACCATAATCCAAATGCATTGTTTCTTCTTTTGACCACTTTACTCAATGCCCAATTTTCACATGTAAATGAGGTGATTGAAAATAATATGGCTTGGGTGAGGCACACCTTTGTCCGCAAAGTGTGATCCCAGCTTTTCAGCACTTTAAAGAGGTCTTATGCAGCACTTTAAAGAGGTCTTATCCTTGACAATCCAACATTTTTTTCCCGTTTATCTTGATGTTACTCATTGTCCCTGCTGTGAGGCTTTGGGTTTTCTTTACATTGAGATGTATTCCATACTGAAGGCTGCAATACTTGGTCTTCATCAGTAAGTGCTTCAAGTCCCCCTCACTTTCAGCCAGCAAGGTTGTTCCATCTGCATATCACAGGGTTTTTTTACTGCACATCACTCCTTTAGTGTACTGATCTGGAAAAGGGACTTAGCACAGGTATCTTCAAACTGAGGACTGGGCCCAAGTAGCAGGGCCGAGCAACTGAACTAGGACTCAATCTCAGTGAAGAGCCATGTAGACACGATCAATAGGCATTTTACTGCCACACAGCAGAGAGGTTGGGGAAGGAGTCTACAGTACTCTTCCCCTTAGCAGCCAGGGAGCCTACCCCACAGGTTGTTAATAAGACTTCCTCCTCTTCTGATGCCTCATTCTTCTTCATAGAATCCAGCTCCCCTGATTCTTTTCTCGGCATACAAATTGAATAAGTGTGGTGAGAGGATACAAACCTGATGTACACTTTTCTTGATTTTAAGACATGCAGTATTTCCCTGTTCAGTTTGCACAACTGCTTCTTGATCCATGTATAGGCTCCACGTGCGCATAATGAAGTGTTCTGAAATTCTGATTCTTCTTAAGAGTATCACAGTTTGTTATGATTGACACAGTCGAATGCCTTGACATAATTAATAAGTCACAAGCATCTTTGAAAACAAAACCAAACAAATATGTCACAAGCAAAAATCTTTCTTGTATTCTCTGCTTTCAGCCAAGATCCATCAAGCATCAGCAATGATATAACTTGTTCTATCCCCTTCTGAATCTGGCCTGTACTGCTGCAACTGTTGCTGGATGACTTCCAGAAAAATTTTACTTGAATGTGATATTAATGATAATGTTATATAATTTGAGCAATCTGTTAGCTCACCTTTCTTTTGAATGGGTATAAATATGGTTCTCTTCCAGTCAGTTGGGCAGGTAACTATCTTCCAAATTTCTTCACATAGATGAGTGAGTGCTTCCAGTGTTTCATCAGCTTGTTGAAACCTTTCAATTGGTATTCCATCAATTCCGGGAGCCTTGTTTATTAGCCAATACCTTTAGTGCAGCTTGGAATACTTCCTTCAATATCGTTAGTTCTCAATCAGATTCTACCTATTGAAATGTTTGAGTGTCAACTATTTCCTTTGGGTACAGTGACTGTGAATTCTTCCCATCTTCTTTTGATGCTTCCTGAATCATTCAATATTTTGCCCTTAAAATCTTTCAATATTGCAACTCAAGGCTTGAAATTGTTCTCATGTTTTAGTATAAGATATGTTGAGTCTGTTCTCCATTTTTGTTTTATAGCTTTAGGTTTTTGCACTTCTCATTGTAATATCCGGCTTTGTCTTCTTGAGCTGCCCTTTGAAATTTCTGTTCAGCTCATTAGGTCCCCATTTCTTCCATTTACCTTAGCTGTCTACAAGTCTCTTTTGACATCCACTTTGATCTTTTCTTTCTTTCCTGTTTTTTTTTAATTTTAACGTTTTATTGGGAATTCTTATATATATATTACAATCTTTATTCCAATAGATCAAACATAATTATACAGTTGCTCCCATCATCATTTTCAATATATTTTCTGTCTTCTTAAACTCCTTGATATCAGCTCCCCTTTATGGCCTATCTCCTCCACCCTACCATCCCCAAGCCCTTAACATATCATTTTTTTTCGTTTGCCATAACTTACACCATCCCATGTATCCATTCACCTAAAATTCTAACATTTGTTCCCTTCCAATGGGGTTATACAGTCATCATTGCTATCAATTTCCCCTTCCCCTTTTCCTCCCCCTCTCTTTTTGTATCCTCAGGGTGTCATTATTCCACTTACTGTTTCTGAGGAGGGTTATCTCTCTTGAATTTTGTGTATCATTAATGACCATTTGTTTTCTTTATGTATGAAGCTCCTGACATCTTCATACATGTCAAGTGTCCTGTCATTAATGTTCAATGCATCACATATAATCTTGATATCTTCTCAAAATTCAAGTGAGATATACTCAAGGCTATATATTGACTCATGTAGACTTGTTTTAAATTTCTTCAACTTCACTCTGAACTTACATATGAGTAATTAGTTATCTGTTTCGCAATCAGTTGTTGTCCTGGTTTCAGTGCTGATATTGAGCTTTTCTAATGTCTCTTCCCATAGATGTAATTGATTTGATTTCTATGTTTTCCATCTGGAGAGGTTCATTTGTATAATTACCATTTGTGTTGAATGAAAAACGGTATCGTTGGTGAAAAAGTGTTGGCTTTGCAAAATTCTCTCATGCAATCTTCAGTGTAGTTTCTATCACCAAGACCATATTTACCAACTAACTACCGATCCTTCTTCTTTGTTTCCATTTTTTTGCATTCCAATTGCCAATAATTACCAATGCATCTTGATTGCATGCTTGATCAATTTCAGAATTCAGATATTGGTAAAAGTCTTCATTTTCTTTACTTCTTTTCTGCATTCAATTCTTCCATCGAATGGAATTAGAAGGAATACACAGAATGAGTGTACCCAAAACAACTGGCCAACATTCACCCACTTCTAGAGGTAGCATATGATCAAAAATTGATTATATAGAAGGATGAAGTCCAGATGCAGTGAAGCCATTGGCGCAAAATCAGGCTCTAGGAATTTATGGAATACCAAAGAAAATGTTTCAACAAGTTGATGAAGCAGAAGTATTCACTAGTTTATGCCAAAAAAATTGGCATATTGATGGGAAGAGATCCATATGTGCACCCATTCCAAAGACATGATCAAACAGAATGTAGAATGTATTGAACCATATCAATATCACATGCAAGTAAAATTTTGCTGAAGATGATTTTAAAAATAGCTAGAGCAGTACATTAACAAGTAGTTGCCAGAATGCTAAATAAATTCAGGAGAGGATATGACAGATGAATATCCTTGCTGACCTCACATGAATCTTGGCTGAAAGGAGAGAATAGCAGAAAGATGTTTACCTGTCTTTTATTGATAGTGCAAAGACATCCAACTATGTGTTTCACAACAAGCCATGAGTGATATGTGAAGATTTATCATTCCAGAACACTTAGTTAATTTTGTTCATGCAGAAGCTGTACATAGACAAAGAAGTGCACAGGGGAGTATTGCGTGATTTAAATCAGGAAAGGTATGTGTCAGGGTTGTATCCTCTCACCATATTTAAGTCAATCTGTATGCAGAGCAAATATTCTAATGAACTGGACTATATGAAGAAGAATTGGAACAAGGTTTATGAACAACCTGAGGTATGCAGATGAAACAACTTTGCTTGCTGAAAACGAGGACGTGAAGCAATTCCTGATGAAAATCAAGGGCTGTAGCCTTCAGTATGTATTGTAACCCAATGCAAAGAAAAGCACAATCCCCACAACTGGCCCAGTAGACAACATCATGATTAATGGAGAAAAAATGGATTTGTCAGAGACTTCATTTTGCTTGGTTCCATAATCAATGATCATAGAAGCAACGGTCAAGAAATTACCGGTATACAACATATTGCATTGGGAAAATCTACATAAGACCTCTTTAAAGTATTGAAGCACAGAGATATTAGTTCAAGTTTCAGGGTGCATCTGACCCAAGCCATCCTATTTCTTATTGCTCTGATGCATGTGGAAACTTGGACAATGAATAAGGGAGACTGGAGAAAATTTGATGTATTTAAATCGTGTTGTTGGCGAAGAATACTGAAAGTGCCGTGGATTGCCAAAAGAACAAACAAATCTGTCTTGGAAGATATAGAGTCAGACTGCTCCTTAGAAGCCAGGATGATGAAACTGTGTCAAGTAAGTTAGGACATGTTATTAGAAGAAACTATTCCCTGGAAAAGGACATCATGTCTGGAAAAGTAGACGGTCAATGAAAAAGAGGAAGACTTCAAGAAACAAGACAGATGGATACAGTGGCTGCAACAAGGGGCTCAAACATAACATGGGAATGATGTAGGACTTGGCAAAATGTCAATCTGTTGTGCACTTGATTAGTATGACTCAGACCCAACTTGATGGCATCTAACAAGAACCTCTTGGATTTGTACCTTTTTTAAATTTAACTTTTTGCCTTAAATTATCATGACATCTTTCTCCTGAAAATCATAATGTATGAGCAATAAATGAACCCCTGTAAACTGGGTTCTAGTCTTTGATCTGACATCATTTAAGTGGGTCAGCTTAGGCAAATAATTTCATTTTTTAGGGTCTGAGTTTCCTCATCTGGATTTGGTTGGTAAATTCTTAAAGTCATTAGATCGAATTAACTTATTCATCCATTCAACAAATTTTAAGCTTCTGTTGGGGTACTAAAACACAAGGCCAGCAGTTTGAAACCACCATTCCTTCTAGGGGAGAAATACGAGGCTTGTAAAAGAGCCCGGTGGTGCAGTGGTCAAGAGTGGAGCTGCGATTTGCATGGTTGACAGTTCAAAACCACCAGCAGCTTCATGGGAGAAAGACTGGGTTTTCTACTCTGTAAACAGTTATGGACTCAGAAACCCACAGGGAGTTGCTATGAGTCTGCATGGACTCGATGGCAGTGAGTTTTGTTTTGTGGTTTTCTCTGCTCCCATAAAAATTTGTAACCTAAGAAACTCAGAGGAACAATTGTCTTCTGTTCTATGAGTGGGAATCAACTCGGTGGCAGTGAGTGAGTGAGTGAGTGAGTGAGTGAGTGAGTGAGTGAGTGAGTGAGTGAGTAAAATGCCAGGCAATATTCTCAATAGCAAGAATCCAAATGTGAATGAGACCAGGTCCCAATCCTCTTGTGCCTTCTAGTTCATGTTTAACATAAGGGAATTTTGCTGTCATGTTAGTAGTATAGTGAGAGATCCATGATTCCCATTTTAGAGAGCAGAAAAGAATGGTGCCAGGAAGTTTCCCACTGTCTCATAAGACAACTGTGTAAAGTCGAGGGTGGACTTCAAGCTTCTCAAACTCAAATCAAGTGAAGGAGCCAAGAGATTATAATTTTGAATACTCTGCCTAAAGAAAAATCCTTGATAACATAAATTGAATAGTCTGAATATTCTTTTCAGCACCGTATCAACTGCTATATTGGTCACATTTCAGAGGAGGTAACTTCCTGGCTGCTTTCACAGCTAATATTACATTTTGCATTGGCAAGGGTTCCTTAGGGAAACAGAGCAGGCGTTTGTTGTTTTGTGAATCTGAAGGGAAATCCCCTTCATTCCTAATAGTTCTCTTACTGGAAAGAGGTTAATTTACAAAGTTATGTAAACATTTCTTATCCAAAAGAATGGGGAAATGTACTTACCACACAACTTCCTGTCTTCTTTTCCTTTTCCCCACCCTTCCCCTCCCCTCCCCTCTCCTTTTGCTTCCCTTCCTGTTGGTGACCCGAGGTTTATCTATTAATGTGTGTATCCTCCCAGCATTTTTCTTCTATTAACTAACAATATTTTACAAGTTTAATTTTCAATCTGATTTTATGTTTTAAACTAGCTCTCTCGGGCAGTATAAAACACGTGTTCCCACCTAAAATTGTTTGTATGAACCCAGGCTTCCTTAATAGACATGCTATTCTTTGATTCACAAACCTTGTCCATGTCGTGGCAATCCTGTGAAGACTCCCATAGGAGGTAAGCTCCGCCCGCGTGTCATAGACTGTGCCTGCTGTTCTTACTTTTGTGTCCCTGACAGGTAGCACAGGGTTTGACACATCACATCATAAATATTGAATGTCATTGAATGATCTTTTCATTAGTTTCCTATCTTAATGTACTTGAAAATATAAACACTCTGATACTAGATGATACTCTTCAATATAATTCTTAGCATTTTTTCCCCACAGGTATGATGGCTTAGACCAAGCAGCTGAGTGTGCTGAATATTTGAAGGCTAATGGGACAAATATTGGATGCAGGTTTCCTTCGTTGGAGTCAGCAGACTATAAAGATTTCTATATATGTGTTAATGGATCATCGGAATCTATGTCCATCATGTCCAACTATTTCATTTTTCAGCTTCAAAATATAGGTGATATAAACAAAATAATTTCAAATATGTAGTATCTAGTCTAGACCCCTTATCCCCACATGACAGGAGAGATTACTAAAGAAATGCAAAGGCCGGGCAATTAGGACCAGCAGAGTACCCTGGGAAGCTTGCATTCAATATGAAAATATGGAACAGAAGGAACTAAATGAAGGATAAAATGCTATTTTTATTTAGCACTCACAATTTCCCAGCATCAATAAAATTGGCCTGCTACACAGCACTTTTATGTAGTGTTGTGATGGATTAATGGTGGCATCACATATTCCCAGTCCTCAGAAAGCAAATGACTATATATTTTCTGAGTCTGCGTTCTCAGTTCTAAGAGTTCCAGAATCAGCCAACACCAAGTCTGGTTCTTGGTTCTATTACTTTCTAGCTGTGTGACCTTGGACAAGTTATGGAACATCTGCTTCAATATCTTTATCACTAAAATGAGGATGATGCAAGACTATTTCTTAGGTTTGATGTGAGACATGAATTCACTTATGATGTAACATCAGTGGTTCAGTGCTTGACACATTGTAAGCACACCCACAAAAAGAATAAGTTAGCTACGAAATGACCAAGTGGTGCCTGTATAGGTTGATGGTGTGAGCCTATTTAAAGATGCCTAGGAAGACAGGAGTGGTGATCTGCTTCTGAAAGTTCACATCCGTGAAAACCCTGTGGAGCAGGTCTTTTCCCGAATGGAGGTGCCATGAGTTCCATCATTTGACTTGATTTAAACTAACAAGATTTTTTTTAAGTATTCCTTGTTCTGGTTGTGGTTCTTCATGCTACAAAACAGGTTGTATATCGTGGTAGTAGGGACTGTAATGATTTAAGGCTTCTAAAATCTAACTTTTTCCTTTAATATTTGCCAATATGTGACTTATCAAAGCATGAGTTCCCACGAAAACTAAGGTTCTCATGAAACTTATATGTTGGCAAACAAATTTGATTTGATTGGGCAACATAGGAAATAGTCGAGCCATCTAGTTTAGCCCTGGAAACATCTGTTACTAGGTGCCCAGCTTATGATAAGAACTTCTGCTAAAGGCTAACAACCCTCATGTTGTTATATTTTTTATTATTTCCTTTTGCTTTTTAGTTAAACCTTTGCCACCACACTACTTTTTGCTTATAATGAATTCTTCTGGTGCAATTAACCTGAAATGGACTGTGCCTCGAGGACCCATTCCAGCAAGATGCTTCATTTATGAAATTTCACTAAGAGAAGATGATTCTACCTGGATGGTATGGATATTGCATTTACTTGGGAAAAATCATAGGCACGCTTTTTAAATAAAACGGGAAATATGGGGACCCAAATCGATTGCTATACACAGGAGGCATGCATGTCAGTTAAACTTTCTGAAAAATCAATTAATCTCATGGATAAAAGAAAGATGCTTGTAATCGGACTGTATGAGCCATTGTACCAGTTTTAGATGATCTCTAATAGTACCTTAGAGATAATCTTGTCCATCGTTTTCAATTTTGTGCCACAAAATTGCAGTTGGCAAGGGCTTAACCTAGCTTATAAAGAAGCTGCAGATTAAAACACCCCCCCCAAACCACTTCTGGAGGAGCTTATTTCAAGTAAAAATGAGAGCAGAGTTTAATAGGGCTATGAATATGTTGTGTGTGTGGCAAGGGAAGGGAAGAGGGACTGACAAGGGAAGTAGGCAATGGTTGTCAAGACAAATTCCCATTTATCTAATAAACAATTGCTGCTGCTTGACCCTATGCTGTTATATGTTAATTGTATTCATTGGTTTCCAATTAATTTAGAGAGCAGTTAGAAAAAACCCACCACCACAAAAAAAACCCAACAACACCCAAAATCCACTGCTGTGGAGTTGCTTTTATTTCTACATGGTAGAGACAGGTAACATGAGCCCTTGTAGCACAATGTTGAATTGCTCAGCTGCTATCATAATGGTTAGCAGGTCCAGTCTACCAGGAGAGAGGATCTGCCTAGGAAACCCTATGGGACAGTGAAAATCAATGCAACACCACCCAATAACAGAGACAGGTTAAAGGAGCCCTGAGAGCTCTCCAGATAAGGTTTTGTGTTTTTTTTGACCTTTGAAAATTTATTGAAATCCAGATCCTATTCAGATTATCTTGAAAACATTTTCCCCCCAGGAATTTATACATTTATTTATTTTAATCATTTTATTAGGGGCTCATACAACTCTTATCACAATCCATACATACATCAATTGTGTAAAGTACATTTGTACATTCATTGCCCTCATCATTCTCAAAATGTTTGCTCCCCACCTAACCCCTGGCATCAGCTCATTTTTCCCTCTCTCCCCTCTCCCCCCTCCCTCATGAACCCTTGATAATTTATAAATTATTATTTTGTCATATCTTGCTCTGTCCAACGTCTCCCTTCACCCACTTCTCTGTTGTCTGTCCCCCAGGGAGGAGGTCACATGTAGATCATTGTAATCAGTTCCCATTTTCAACCCACCCTCCCACCACCCTCCCAGTATTGCCACTCACACCACTGATCCTGAAGGGATCATCTACCCTGAATTTCCTGTGTTTCCAGTTCCTATCTGTACCAGTGTACATCCTTTGGTCTAGCCATATTTGTAATGTAGAATTGGGATCATGAGAGTGGGGGAGGAAGAAGCATTTAGGAACTAGAGGAAAGTTGTATGTTTCATTGTTGCTACATTGCACCCTGACTGGCTCATCTCTTCCCCGAGACCCCTCTGTAAGGGGATGCCCAGTGGACTGCAAATGGGCTTTGGGTCTCCACTCCACACTCCTTCCCTCATTCACTATGATATGATTTTTTGTTCTGATGATGCCTGATACCTGATCCCTTCAACCCTCATGATCGCACAGGCTGGTGTGCTTCTTCCATGTGGGCTTTGTTGCTTCTGAGCTAAATAGCTACTTGTTTACCTTCAAGCCTTTAAGACCCCAGATGCTATATCCTTTGATAGCCGGGCTCCATCAGCTTTCTTCACCACTTTTGCTTATTCACCCACTTTGTCTTCAGCGGTTGTGTCGGGAAGGTGAGCATCATAGAATGCCAATTTAATAGAAGAAAGTATTCTTGCATTGAGGAAGTACTTGAGTGGAAGCCCAGTGTCCTTCTGCTACCTTAATACTAAACCTATAAATATATGCACATAGATCTATTTCCCCATCCTCATATATAAATATATTTCATATGTACATGCCTTTATTTAGACCTCTATAAATGAAGGGCTCAGCTTTTAACCAAAAGAGTGGTGGTGGTTATGTGCCGTAAAGATTAAAGCCTAGGAAATCCTGTGGGGGAAGTTCTACCATGTCATATAGGGTTGTTATGAGTCAGCATTGACCAGAACGCACACAACAGAAGCAAGTAGTGAAGACACAGATTGTAATTAACGTATTTTATATATAGATAGCATTACAGTTCCAGGGAAGTCAATCAAATTACACAACTAGAATTAAAATCCAGATCTGATCCCCCCTCCACGTCAGCCCCTCACTACATTATGCTGGTTCCCAATATAAATTGCAACCAAAGAAAGCTGTTATTTTGCATGGAAAAGAGTCTTAAGTTCTTTAAAATGCAAAATAGAAGTAATTCCTTCTGTGTGCTTGTTTTTATATAGTTATGTATCTGAAGGGATACTTTCAAGCCATGCCCTGAAACACTATTATAGATCTGATGCCCGCCAACCAGCCCAACAATAAGCAAAACAAACAGTTGTATGTGTATGGACGCTATGACCCACATCAAAACTCAGTGCCATCAAGTCCATTCTGATACACAACGGCCCTATAGGACCGAGTAGAACTTTCTGTGTGTGTTTCTGAGACCATGAATCCTCGTAGGAGCAGAGAGCCTCCTCTTTTTACTACGTGACAGCGGATGGTTTCCCAACTGCTGACCTTGCAATTAGCAGCCCAACGTGGAACTACTGTGCCAAACTCACTGCCTCCCAGTCAATGCTGACTCATAGAGTCTCGCCTCTGTTGAGGTCCTGAGACAGTAAAGTTTTATGGGAGTAAAAAGTCTCACCTTTTTACTGCTGATGGTTTCTAACTGCTGACCTTGAAGATAGCAGTCCAACTCATAATCACTATGCCACCAGGGCAAGTTTCCATAAAAAACTATATTCACTTGATCCGCTGCGTCATTTGTTAACTCAATGTATGGAAGCTGGAACTTTTGACGTTAGTCCTGACATTGAAATTTCATCAACACCATGGCTAGCTATGAATTTTTCCCTGTATCATAAGTCCTGTTATTCATTAGCATTACAGACAAAATTTTAAATAAAGGAGGGAAAGAGAGAGAGAGAGAGAGAAATACCATCCAGAGAAATGATAATCACTATTAGAGTTTTCTATAGAGTTTTCTGGTCCTTTTGATGCAAAACTCACTTTGAAAGTGACAAATCAAATGTTAACTCTCTAACTCCAATTAGATCAAATGATGTTGGCTTATTTTTCCTTGGCTTTCAGTCTTGCACAGTTGATAATGAAATATTCACCAAGAGAATGTCAAATAAAAGCCATCAAATATGCATTTCAGTAAGAAGCAAAGTGAATATGTTTTGCTCAGATGATGGAATTTGGAGTGAGTGGACTGAAGAAAAATGCTGGAGAGGTATGATATAATGATAAAAAAATTCATTTTCTTAACATACTTTAGTTATGGGCATCAAAATTCTCTTGAATATAGTCCAAAAACAGGGAAGATACATTAGCAAGTATCTCCATTGATCAAAGATTTATTGAAAATCTAATATTCTGTTTGAACTCGAAGTTTTGTTCTGTTGTCAACATTTTTGTTTTTCCTGACTGGTAAAAAGAGACTATGATAGTTTAAAAAAAAAGAGGATAAAAAAAACCCAAACCCCCCAAACTTTATTCTTGATTGGAATACAGATTTAGTTTTTAATTTTTTGTTATTAATTGGGATTTAACACATATATCATGTCATTCCATAGTTTAGTCATGTCAAGTAGGATTTTAAAAATTCCTAGCCCAGTCTGTTTCCGGACATTGTTTTTCTACATGGCCTCCTTGACATCATCTCCCTTTTAATGCACCACCACAGTATGCCCCTAACCCCCAAACCTTTATCTTACTTGCTGTCCCTATAACTTTATCAATCCTGGAATTCATATACCGAAAAACAGAGAAGCATATAACATAACTTCAAGAGGGTATGAAATACACCCTCATATGTACAAACAAAAACAAAATACTGCAAACCGAAACAGAAAAAAGTTGGAAACCAGATCAGGTCCGGCCTGCATTATAGAGAGGACCTACTGACAAAAGTTTTAACTGTTCGGGTCAGATTTACACCTTTAATCTATACTTATCTCTCCCCAGCATTGTTTAGTGACCCCTTTCCTCACATCCCTCAATTGTGGATAGAGGGAGTCCACCAGAGGCAAATGAATCTCGGGTTCCCACTGCCATCCAGAGCCTTCTGCACACCGGATTCTCACAATTGAGGCTCTGATACTAATCTCTCCTTAGTCTTGGACTAAAGATTTTTAATCATTATTTTTTACTTTCAGTTTTCAAGAAAACACATCTTTACTTCAAGCAGGAATTGGTCAGAATTCATTTGTGTTTGAGTATCTAGTTTTCTGCCTAAGGAATATTTTTCTAATTATGGTGCCATAGGTTTTGAAATACATATTCCATTTACTTCCAATAGTGATTTAATGTGACTTACAATGAAAAGCATTCATAAGCTAAAAAGCCTAGAGAATGAGGGAAAATATGACCGTTCTTCATAGCACTATTAACTTTAACCATGGAAAAGATGAACATTTGTTCAAAATGTAAGGAAATCAATTCTGTATGGATCTTTCAGGTTTATATGTAGATGCAGTTATTAAATACAGATGTGATACAAGCAGATACTGGCATTTTTATCAGTCATTCTTCTTTCATGGAGTTTTACAATAGAATTCCTTTTGCACTGTTATCTCCCTAGGACTACAGTGGCATTAATGTTCCATTTCATTCATCAAATATTTATTAAGCGTCTACTATAAATTAAACTCTTGTCAGACATTGACCATATGTGGTGGAGAAATCTCTAGCCACATGGAGATAATATTTTATTCCTGGGTTGGGTAGAGACAATAAACAAATAAGTCAAATATATAATAACTAAAGGAGATAGGCAAAGAACTCAAAATGACCAAGAGATATACAAAATCAAGAAACACTGCTTTTAAGTTTTCTCTTTTCCCCTATTAAAAATCAAACAAACAAAAAAAAACCTGGAGATATTTTGGAACTGATATTGGGAAAGTAATTTCCTTTCCCAATGTTATAAGTCAATACATAGTTTAAAGTAGATAAGATGAAAATATCCTTCGTGAGTTTTTAGTCATGTCTTCAAAATATACCCATTTAAAAAAATACATCCCTTTATTTGTGTTATATACCATTTTAATAATGACATTGGTGGCTGATGTTCTTTTGCCCTGATTGCATCTCAATACAATCTTAAGGAGTTTGAGATTAGGAACTAACTTTTCAAGAGTTGTATATGCTCTTGGTTCTCTCGGACATTTTTAATTGTATCATTTAAGTTATAGAAAAATAGGACAATGGTGTTTTGGGAAATTAAAAAAAATCTCCATTAGAATTGACTCCACTGCATTAGAAAGCCAATGGCTACCTATGTCTGATTTGCACAACCTTAGGAAAGGAGCCCCCTGACTTTTGACTGTTATTTATGATGGCAGAAAATTTATATTCTTAGTCACTCCTTTGGATTATATCATTGCAAATTTGTGACTGATTTGAACACCTGAGTTTGATAAGTTTGTAGGAGAGCATAATCATCTCAAGGGAAATGGATATAGATGGGAGAGTGGAAGGAAAGTTTGGAGCATGGGTCTAAGTGTAGAATTATTTAAAATGATCTGAATTGGAATTGAATTGAAGACAACTTTATTATTATTATTACTCCAATGTAAGTGGATAATAGAAGTTTGGGAAGAACGAACTTTGGCCACTTTTAAGGATCGTTTGATGATGGCTGATTGCTCATTTCTTGCTATTCAGCAAAACCATTAAAACCCAATCATCTCTCTTAGTCTCTGAAATGTAAGACAACTTTTAAAAGTAACCTTTAAAGACCAGCTCCATTACTCAGAACAGACATTCCTTGAAGACCCTCTTTTGCTGACTACTCAAAACCAAAACCAACTGATGTCCATCAAGTTAACTCTGATTCATGGCAACCCTAGAGGGCAGTGGAGAACTGCCCCTGTGGGTTCTAAGACTGTAACTCTTTACAGGAGGAGAAAACCTCATCTTTCTCCCATGGAGCAGCTGGTGGTTTTGAACTGCTGACCTCACAGTTATCAATCCGGGGTGGAACCATCACGCCCCCAGGACTCCTACAGCAGCATATAAAATAAGCTAAACATTTGAGTTGTTGATAGTTAAAGAGACACACAGGGCATGTTTATCTAATCACCGGGATTCTATTTTTAAATGACTGAAAAAAAATCACAAATGCTATTTTAAATAAAATCATATCAGAAAATAAGAATTGTGTTTGGGACTTGTTTTTTTTTTCTGTGACAAGAGCAAATGCCACCGTTCAATCAAGTAGTTATTTTATATTATAAGTACAAAAAGAAAGGGATGCTATCCTCAAGCACACCCACGGTACCACTACACTGGCAACTACTCTCCATCAGTTCCTAGGAGATTATTCATCTAATCATTCCATTTCAAAAAGAATTATCAATCTCTAATCCTTTCCCCTTTTGTGTTATTTTTAATCCTAGATAACAGATGGAAGGAAACTTGGGCATATTCCATGTTACCATTGGGTTTTGCCTCACTATTTCTTTTGTCGACACTTTTACTGTTTTTGTATAATCGACAAGCTTTACTTAAAACGGTAAGTTGCGTGACAGCCTACCAGCTAGTCTGACACTAAGTCGATAAACAAAACTGTTTTGCCTTTAGCCTATGGCAACACACTGTGGATGTACCATTGTTATTGTTTAGGTTAGGATGAGGTCTTCAGAAGCACCTAATTTAAAATGAAGCCTGCATGTTGGGGTGGTTTTACTTCTTTCTAAACAGAAGAATAATACTTTAGAACTGGAAATACAGGTTCTAGATTAGGAGAGAGTAAAAAGAAAGACAGAGTTACAGGAGAAAAGTATGATTGGGCGAAAGCAGAGTGGCTTGAAATGGACACGGACTGGCCCATAGTTCTACGGTGCCATAGGTGAAAGATGACAAACAAAATCCCAAAGTGTATTATCTATCCTCCAGGAGCTCATCTGCTAGATGAGGGAGGAAAAGAGGAGACATATACAAAATAGAACCTGCGTTATAGAATGATTTTAGATGATTACTATTTAAGGGATAGAAGTAGTGTTATAGAATTTCAAAAGATGTGGCAATCATTATGGGTTTGTGGGCTTGAGGGAGTTATAACTTAGAGAAAAATAACTTTTATTAGGGATACAAATGTGAATGCCTATGAAATGCTTCAACTTTATTTCTCTGCTGAGTACTTTTTGCCCATATTTCTTAATTGCTATCCTCAGTGAAAAAGTTAGTGTTATTAATGATGATCTGTTATTAATGGAGCACTTTCTTAATTTCAGATTCTTAATTCGAACAAAGAAGTTTTTACTCAGCAAGAAACGTGCTGCTGATCCACCAACTTCTATTCATATGGCTACTTGTCAAATAGAGTCATTAAATGAATTTTCCTCAAAATGTTAAATAGATCTTATTTTGTTTTAAATCGTCGCTATATTTAAATAGGTTTTCGAGTACTTCACCCCTTACCTAGTATGGAATTTGTGAGATTCAATTAATGGGTTGTGGGGTACCAGCCTCTGCAATCAAGGGGTGGTTGTGTAATTGAGGGATAACAGTAAAGAGGCATGAGACAAGATAAAGCATGCGAATGCTCACCTCCAGGACCATCATGACTTCAGGAGCCAGATCCACACAGAGAGAGGGAATATATTTCCAACCAAGACTTATATACACTCAGGGGGCGTGCGGTCCCCCCTAATTGCAGGTCACCAGATATGTGACAAGAAGAGGTTGCACTAGAGGCATACATATGACAGGAATGCACATACATAACAAGATGGACAGGCTCTAGGGCAGTGGTTCTCAACCTTCCTCATGCCGCCAACCTTTCATACAGTTCTTCATGTGGTGGTAACCCCCCAACCATAAAAGTATTTTCGTTGCTACTTCATAATTATAATTTTGCTACTGTTATGAATTGTAATGTAAATATCTGATGTGCAGGATGTATTTTCATTGCTACAAATTGAACATAATTAAAGTGTAGTGATTAATCCCAAAGCAATATGCAATTATATATTGTGAAATATTTATTTCTAATTACAAATAAATGAAATTTTGTCTTGAAGCATGGTGTAGCATGAATAACAGTCTTAATATAATAACAGTAAACTACATTGCTACAATTTGCGACAGGATGTGTAAAAAGCCAACATCAGTGCGAAGGTTGAGATAGCTACTTTCTCACCAGATCCGCATATCTGCATGTGGAGAGACCCGCCTGGAAATGGACAGAGGAGCAGTGTCTTGGTTCCTAAGACCATCAGAAATATGTGTTTTCTGATGCTCTTAGGCAACCCCTGTGAAAGGGTCGTTTGACCCCAAAGGGGTCGCGATCCACAGGTTGAGAATCACTGCTATAGAATCAAGATGGCACCCTAACCTTGGTAGTCCCTGAGTTGGCTTGACCTTAGGTGTCTTTCAGGGGAACAATGCATTATCCTAATCAGAAGGAGTGGGCTCTACTTAGGGTGGGACAGACTATAACAATAAAACAATGTTCACACAGGCTGGTGTGCTTCTTCCATGTGGGCTTTGTTGATTCTGAGCTAGATGGCTGCTTGTTTATCTTTAAGCCTTTAAGACCCCAGATGCTATAGCTTTTGATAGCTGGGCACCATCAGCTTTCTTCGCCACATTTGCTTATTCACCCATTTTGTTTCCAACAGTCATATTGGGAAGGTTAGCATCACAGAATGCCGGATTGTTAGAACAAAGTGTTCTTGTGTTAAGGGAGTAATTGAATCGAGGCCCAATGTCCAGACCAGAGCATGCACACTGCTACAGTTAAGAGCCCACAACACAGGGAATCCAGAATAGCTAAACCCCTCAGGGCCAACAATGAGAGTAGAGATACCAGTAGGATTAGGGTATGACGAGGGGAGAGAGGGGGATCGGTCACAAGGATCAATGTAGAACCCCCTCCTAGAGGGACACATAGCGGAAAAGTGGGTGAGGGATGATGGAGACGATGTAAGATGTGGAAGTAATAATCTATAACTTATCAAGGGTTCGTGAGAGAGGGTGGGCGGGGGAGGGAAGGGGAAGAGATGGGTTGCTAACATCAGGGGCTCAAGTGGGAAGAGAATGCTTTGAAAATGTTGATGGTGGCATATGTGCAAATGTGCTTGACACACTGGATGAATGTATGGATTGTGATAGGAGATGTAAGAGCCCCCAATAAAAGCATTTAAAAATAATAATTAAAACAATGTAATTTTGTAATTTTTACCAAGCCATAAATCCTGGAAGAAGGGATTCTAGTTTGTTTAAATTATTATTTGGCTTTAGAAGTAACCCATTGAGAGGATTAATTGAAAATGAGAACTTTAAGTACATTCATAGTCCTAATGAGCCTTTTACATTTCATGGAAGAAAACACTGGAAGCAATGAGTGCTGAAAAGGCTGAAAGTAATGATATGTATAGGGATCATATATTTGAAAATCAGAAGTCACAAACTGTACAATTAAAGCTTGGAAGTTTCCCCCACTTGTTGGCAGCCAACATTTCCTACTTCCACATGGTGTGATATATTTTGTTTTGGGTACCGTAAGGGACAAGCTATTTAATTTAGTAAGATGCCTTTTAAGAGCATATCCAACCTTTCATCAAATTGGCAGTTATTTTAAACGCAGGGAACAATAGGTCATGTTTTAGTTGGGACCAAATCTTACTTAATATTATTTAGCACATCACAAATCCTGGATTCACAGACCCACATGAATTAAGATGATACAATTTTTTAATTGCCATCCAAATTTGGCTTGCTAAATTCTTCTTAGTATGTTGAGGGATTTGGGGAGGAGAATGGAATATGGAGGTGTAGTAGTTACATAATCTGTTGTCAATTTGAGAATTAAGAGTGAAGGGGTAGAGTTTAGTCTGTCGATCAGGTCGCAGCTTGATGACCTCATTCGGAAGCGCTAAGGAGATAAATAGTTCACTGGAGGCAGGAGACAGACACACTCCCTGAGAGACTTTCTGGTTGACAAGACACATGGAACTACATTGATGGTGACCCCTGCCAGCGCTGAGATGTTTACACCATCACTGGATCCACAAGACCTTCTACCCACTGGCCTGTGATCTTCCTGCGATGGCATGAGTTTTGTGAGTCTGAAGAGAACTTTATTGATTGATATTGGACATGTGGGCTAATACCAGACTTCTAGACTGGGCTGGGATATTTTCTCGATATTCAACTGCTCTTGTATATGAAGCTCTTTCTTATTCACATATAAGGTCTATGAATTTGTTTTTCTAGTCAACACAGACTAACACAGGAGGAGATTAGTCAAGGCTGGGGAGAGACATGGCAGTGAACTCTATCTTAGGAGGCTGAGGTGGGTCTTGAAGACTTGAATTGTTCTGTTCAGAACATGCCTAACAAGCCTTGAAATGAAAATATTTCTGTAATAGCCACCATAAACATAGAAATCTCACGCATAATTACTCCATTCAAGTAGATATGATAAACAAATGGTACCAAACGTGAACAGAGTTGGACTTTGCAAAAGAACCCCTAGAATGCCTGCCATGCTATATGTTTATATAGGCTTATTAGTTGTTCAATAATGTGACCTCAAAATTTATGTACTCGAAATTTTTGAACGCTGTTATTTTGCACTAGAAGACATGTTAAGATTCAGGATATTTCTCAAACGCTTGGCATACAAACAGTGCCAAGCCTGAGTTGATCTCCCCATGCCCTATACCTCTTCTCATCTGACTCCTGCCACCTGGAGTTGATCCCAGTCCCAGCTTTGAAACCATCCTAAGATTGAGCAACTAAAAGAGAACATCAGACACAGCAAAGCTACACAAGGACCTGCACAGTGTGAAAGCCAGCAGGGATGGTTTCACCGCTGTGCAACCTGTGTAGTCATGCAAGATCGACGCTTGTAAGAGTTTCACATGTAGCTCAATCTATTGCACTATTAAAATTCTTAATGATTTTTAAAAATCATTTCATTGGGGCTCATACAATTCATCACAGTACATACATCAATTGTGTAAAGCACACTTATACATTTGTTGCCCTCATCATTTTCAAAATTCGCTTTCCTCTTGGGTTCCTGGAATTAGCTCACTTTCCTTTTTCCCTCTCCCCCTCCATCCCCACTCGCCCTTCCCTCATGAACCCTTAATCACTTATAAATTATTATTATATCTTATCTTACACTGCCCGGCGTCTCCCTTCACCCACCCTTCTGTTGCCCATCCCCAGAGAGGAGGTTATATGTAGATCCTTGTGATTGATTCCCCCTTTCTACCCTCCCTTCCCTCCCGGTATCGCCACTGTCACCGCTGGTCATGAGGGGTTCATCTGTCCTAGATTCCCTGCGTTTCCA